GAGTGAACATTGTGCTTCAGATGCCATTGTAGAAGAATCCAAACTCACAGCCAAATATCTTTTACAAAAATAAACAGCCAACATAATTACGATTGATATACTAGAAATAATAATACCTGATATAGTATTATCGGGGTGACTTTTTTGAGTTAAAGAGATTATTGCATGTAAAAATGTTCCTAATGCCAAAACAATAAAAAGACATCCAATTCCTAAAGTAGCTTTACGTTCTTTATCAATATATTTATCCTTGTGAGTTATAGAAATCATGGAGATTTCCTGACATGATTCAGAGGCAAATCGCCATAAGACTAAAACAGATGATGTCATTTCAACAAAAGAACCAATTCCAAAGATTACCAAGCTAACGGAATTAGATTGTTTTCCGAAAAACATAGAAAGTATTCCTTCAGCAATATTCAATAAAATAGTCATAATGCTCACGAAAATTGCAAGATTAACAAGTTGCGGACGCGTGAAAGGCGTAGACAAGATAGCCATTATGACGTATGGCTTTCAAAATATTCAAATAATAATAGGTCGTAGATGGTTGAATCGTGAAGTTCTTATTTTCTTATTTAGAAAAAATGGATCAAATTCCAATATTGATGCTTTACAATACGATCGAAAGAAAATCAGCATCTTCTACTTTCTTTGATATCATCAATAAAAAAAAAAAATTTTGAAATAAATGATTACATATAATCTGTTTAAATAATTTTTATTAAATATATAACGTGGTGCGCTCGAGTTCTTCTGACATGGATAATTTTAATAATGACACGTGCAAAATTTTGGCGAAGAATGTTGATGTGTCACGTGCTGCAAGACAATTGGAGGTTTTTCACGTACGTATGTACCGTATCATCTCGAGACACATAACTTAAAGAGAACTAAAAATTAAGATTTTTAAAAAATGAAATTATTGTTCGCATTCGGTTAGATTAACATTCAATCTCTTTAAATTGTGTCTCAAAATAACGCCCGGGCATTATTTCGCGCAAATATGGTAATGCTGAAGATAGGATCCGTTGAATATTTTTATACAGTATTTTTTTATAGTAAAAATTAAAAATAAAATTTGCGGATATCCGGATCCTATCGTTATCTTTATTGTCAAGGTTCATTACTCTAAAAATGATAATATTTGTTCGTTGTGACAACACATACGTAATTGAAATTTAATTTTCCAGGTTCAAAAAATTTATTATTTCAGATTTTAAATACAATATATCCTGATAGAAAATATAATAAACTCTTTTTAAACTTAATTGATAATTATTACAATAAAAGTTTTATTATGCTTATATACTGAACTTACAGTATAATAGATTTTTAAGAAATTTTTAGCATGCTTGACAGAAATTGAAAAAAGCGTGTCTAATGTTTTTATCACAACAATTCACTCAAGGTGTAAAATAAAAGATCTAGCCAAACGTCCGCAGGTCCAGGGATACACCATCTTAAACAATCTCGACCACCAATATGTCCATCTACTCTTGTAATCATGACTGATTCTACGTCTAAAAATACCCCACCAAGACCTTCAATAATTTCTTTAGCGATCAAATTTTGTCTATGAATATCACCCCAATGATAAGGAAGATTTTCCAACTCTGTAGCATTCGGAGGAGCGGGCAAAGGTCTATCAGCATTGTTGCAATTTAAATGTCCCAGAGTAGTAGCACGGTAAATTATAAGATTCTTGTCTGATTTGTTTCTTAACTTTAGAATGGTGTCTATTAAACTATTTCGAAATGTCTCATCGTTCTGCCAATGATGTCCTTTATTTAAAATAAAAACATTGTAATGAGAGATGAATCGTGTCCAAGAAAGTTGGAAATCCTTAACGTCTATTGGTGGTTCTTTCATGTGAGAAAGTATATCATTTCTTACATATCTCATTGCTGGTTTTTTTCTATCATTATCAGGGTCATCTGGAGTAATGTTACAAAGTAGGTGATCTTTACATGCATTTTCTCCATAACATTGAACAGGTCCTTCATGAAAAAAATCTAATAAAAGTTCATGTAATTGAAATTGTAATTTATCTCCAATTATCAAAATTTGATTTCCCGAAATTAGATTACAAGCTTGCTCGACGTTTATTTTTGGTAAAGGGCATTCCTTTGGTGTTTTCCAAACATATTTTGCCGAATCTGGAATCAATTTCCATTCTTCTCCTACCGGAATATCTTGATATTTAACAATATTTTGATGTCTCTTACTACATTTCCCGTATAATGGATCTTGTTTGTGTCGAATTAAAGATCTTGGTGTAAGATCTAACTCCCAATTACCTTTTGTAATAATGCATTCTAATTGGTTTCGAAATTCGATTAAGCTATCAATGTCCTTAATGCGACTAGATCCAGGAATATATGTACTAAATTTTTTATATTCCTTAAGTTTTTGGATTTTTTTACGAGTTATTTCAACGGCTTTGCGTTCTAATATTCGATGTTTTGTGGCAAATTCTTGATTTAACTTTATTTTTTCTAAGTTTTCGGTATTAATTTCTTCAACTTTTCTTCTTTGGCCGAATAAATAGAATGCTAAGAAGAACAGAAACAAAAGAAAAAGTAACCGAGATATGTTATTATATAATAATTTCATGTTCAATTAAAAAGATTACGTTTGGTGGTAGTTTCAGGAAAGAAAAATAGGGATAAAAAAAAAAACAAAAAATACTATATATAATCATATCAGTATGAGGTAAACAATTAATTGGTTTCATTTCTTTACGGTTAGCGTTAGCATTAGCTAGGGTATTAATTTATCCAACTAGATCGATCACCGTATACCCGGTTCGCACGGTTTCCAGATCGTCGTTGTCCCAGGCATCCAGGTAAATGGGCTTACCCGCCCGCCCACTTACATCATTTTCCTTACCAACTGCAATGGATGTATATTTTGGTAAGGTGGCGGCTGCAGCTATCATATGGGCTAATTCGGGACATGCATAAAGTCTAGACTTAATGTCCTAAAAATTGTTTAATGATGGAACAGGTTGTTTGACATTGTATTGCTATATTGTCTTACTAAATAGTATATAGCGATAGAACTAGACGGTATCTGTTATGTCCGGTATGTACGTACGTACGTCCGTACGTGAATAAGCAAACAATACTAGATATGTTAAATTACATGACCTAATAGGATTTAGACTCTTGGGTTTTGGGTGGGACTCTTGGGTTTTGACGCATTATCTTGCATGATCTATTATATTGAATTATTTAGGGTTTTAGTTGAATTATTTAGGGTATTTACTCAAATTTATTGAGCAATTGTTCTATAGAGCAGGCCAATTAAAACCAATTAAATACAGGTTCAAAATAAATCTAGTGCTTTTGTCTAGGGCCCAATGTCTCCGATTAGCCCATATGTGAAACGAATTTATGATATAAACCTTTATTTGGGTTACTTATATAGATAAGTACAGTACATGCATGTTTAATTAATTAAACTTTATAAAAGGTAAGCATTATTTATAGATTAATTTTTGATTAATTTTATATAAAACCTATAAAATCATAATGTTACGCATTCGTTGTTACATTACATGTACATTGTAATATTACACATATGCCGTACATTTTAAAGTAACATATAAGTTACTTTATTTATATATACGTATATATACATATATATATGCATATATATATACGTACATACATACGTATATATGACGGGTATGTTTATTATTTGTGTACCCGTGCTAAACTTTAATTACACTTGACCCCCGTTAATATCAACCTCTTATTAAGACAAGATAGACTCAGGGTATATAAAAACTATCCCGATATTATCAACCCTCGTATATCCAAATGGGTTGATATTAACGGGTCAAGTATATTTTTTTAAACAGGGCCCCACTTACGGGATCCTGTTTATTTATATTTTTTTTTTTAATTAAAAAGGACCCCGATTACACGGGTCCTGTTTAATGTAAACTTTAATTTCAAATAATTTTTTTGCCGATTGGATTAAGTTATTAATTTCGGCAAAAATTTTATGATTATAAGTTAGATGTGCGCTAAAATCAGGAACATAGACAACGCTATTTATAATAATATATGCTAATTCTTATATTATATCAAAGCTTTGATTAAATTTAGCATTACAACCTAATCCCAAAAATTTATTTATTTTGTTACAATATCATTAACTGACTTAGTTTGTAAATCATGTAGAACAATTTTGAAGATTGCTGAATCAACATGGATATTTTGTATAGTCTTGATCTTATTTTTATTTCAATCAAGTATCAGCTTCTTCCTTGATGCTTCAAGAATTCGTAGTTATACCATAGTAGTGTTTTCTTGAGTTGGCATATTTTGCTAAATGAAAGGTTTAATAGTAGTAGGTAGTCTGCAACTACGTTCCAATTAATAATTAAATATGATTAGTGTAACACCAATTATTGATAATAAATATTCTAATTAAATATAATACATAATAAAATAATCTATATTTTTAAGTAAAACTCAACACATAAAAATTAAGAAAATGATCTAAGAGTATGATCGCGTTATTTAAATTTAGTGTTATTTTTAATAACAATAACGCTTTACTCTAAATTGCAAGTTCTATTGCGATTTTAGGACATCAGCAGGTGATTCAAGACCAATTGATTGCGTAGCTGTGTGACCAAATTTAATATTTAAGGACATTTGATAGGATAAAAAAAAAGATTACAGTACAATGTTGCGATTTCGTACCGAAGGATACAATGGATATTTGGTAAAATTGTTTGATATCAATTAAATTATTTAAATTATAATAATTACCTTATTAACTACTTTCGAAATTTTTGTTTTAGTTGCAATTCAGTCAATTTCTTTGAAACTAAAATATCATGTGCAACGGCAGCAACTTTTGGATTAGTCAAAAATGGAAGATAAATACTGGTGTTGGTCCTAATGGTGTGGAGATTAAATGAATGTAAATCAAGATTTAGTGCGATTTTTCGTTTGGCAAATCGACTCCGTATTGAATATTTACAGCCTTTTCCCGGAAATTTCGAGCTATATCCGATGGATATTATACGTTTTTTGTATGAATAAACCCATGTTCGAATGAAAATGTTTTAGGAATCGGACGAAAATTTTATTGAAATCGGATAAAAATTTTATCGGAATTTTATATTAGTCACCTGATCTTAAATTTCATATCGATATTGAATCTATTATCGTTATGCAAAAAATCGATAAGTTACCAAATCGGGCCGAAAAAATCGTTCGGTTAATTTTTTATCCGGTGTCCCAGAATTTATGTAAGGCCAGACAATAGGTGAGAAAAAAATTCCGTGTGGGTTCCAGGTGTAGGATAAATTTAAAGTGCGACATGTCATATACATCAAAGTAACGGTAAATAAAGTTAAATTTAATGTGCGATACGTCATATACTACTAATTGACAATTTCAATAACTTTATTTATTGTTATTTAGAAGTATATGACGTATCGCACTTTAAATTTAACTTTATTTCCCGTTACTTTG